GAGATGTCTATATTTGATAAGAAATATAATAGTTCCAAGTCATTTTATCTACTTGAACATGTAGATTTCTTGATATGAACACAAAATTAAATCCACTATTTTCATTACAATGTTAATATAAGTAATTTTTATGGATATTACAAAACAGAACATAAATTCCTAGGCTAAGAGGACAGCCAGTATTTTGACCCTGGTCTTCCAATTTCAAGAGAGTTTCAAGATAAGAGGGGCCCTTCCATACAAAACCTATAACTTTGGTAAGGCACCCTACCTCCTGCACAGTAGAACTAAAAAACAGAAAAATCTGTGCAGTGTGCTAGGAAGGAGGCTCACCAGAGAGGCAAAATCTCTTCCCTGATTCTATGAAAGCCACATGCTCAGCGAAGGCTATGACCCATCCTGGCAAGACAGTGACAGAGGTGCTAAGTGTCTCTACACATAGCCACACAAAACATGTCTAGAGAGCCTCAACTGATTTTTGGCAAGAACTTAATTTTAAGTAGTCCACATATTGCTTCATCTTCATCTCAAATGTCAGGAAGAAAAATACAAACCAAAATATAACTAATGGTAATGTAGACTAAACATAAGAAAGGAGGCTCTACTCTCTCATCCCTGTTGACAGTTTCCAGCCACATCTATAGACAAATCTAAGAGCCAGCTGGTTACAATTGCCCCCTTTAATGCTCATGCTTTGGTCATGTGTACTTTAAGGCCTCCACAGGGTTTGTATATTTTCACCCAGATTCTGCTAAATCCAATTGATCACATACATGCCCTCTGCATATCAGCAAACAATTAAGATAATGGCCTTTGGTTGGAGACTTCCTCTTATAGATTTACAAACACGGCAATGCTGTCAAAAGGCACAGGATCCAAGGGATAAACCCTTCCTTGGAGCTACAAGCCTCCTTTCACTATAGCCAACCAGCATGTTCCTCCTGAGTAATATCATCTACTTAAAAGTGCCACGTCACTCCTAAAGACCAGGAAGCAACCAGAGCAGTATGCACCTTATTGCCATCCTACAAATGTGGGATGGCTGAGTCAGAGGAAGAGAGGTAGGGCCAGTTAAAGAGAAAGTAGGTAGAGAAGATATAGGACATGACTTGGGTTGCTCATGATTTTGTAGTTAACATAAGCTTGTCACACATTCTACAGGTGAGTAAGTCAGCTCTTCAACTGAGTAAACCAGCTCTTCGGAAATTATTACATATACTCATTACTTGCCCCTCAGTTCTCTGACCTTTCCCCAATCTAGAAGCTAAGGCAAAGAAACTGAATGGCTTAGAGTCCACCAATCAGTGAAACACAATTTTAGAATACCAGTGTAACCCTATAAGTAAAAGCAGATTCTAGCTCCCATCTTGGGAAACTTAGTGGATTTTCCCTGCCCTGTAGCATGCACTGTTACTTGGCAGCTATACCTTTATTTGTGATCTTACAAATAAACTTTTGCCTCACATTACTATCACTTCTGCCTTCTGCTTTCTGCATGGAACTTGATTCCCTTATTCTCTTTTGGGAGACTTGGGTTCCGAGTCAGCATCAACTCACTTGCCCTTTCTTCACTGCAGTGGAGTTGAGGAACCCAGAGACACCTAGCAGGGTCCTGGGACAGGAGGCTCTTAGAGAAATCGGCATCTCAAAGACAACTTGCTTGGTGCGACAACCATGCATCTGCATGAAATTGTGTTATTTTTCCTCTGCAAATGTTAAAAATCATTTCAAATATGATTTAATAACATCCATATTTGGTCATTTGTAAGATATTAAGTTATTTAATGTTTGATTACATTCATCTTTGAGGCATCTTCTTCAGAGAGTTCAACTTTATTCCCACAAAATAGGTATTAATATTTTCTCATATGCAGACTTAATTTTCCATTCTTAATTTCATGAGTTTTTACTTAACAGTGTCAGCAGTTAGTCACGTTATTTACTTGTTGCAAAATCTCATATCAGAGCACAAGGAAAGTTAGGCTTCAATGGTATTAAAGATAAATAATGCAACATGATGAAAATTTACACTTCCCAGCCTTCCTAAATATGTTCTATGAATATATTCTATCAGGAATAGGTAAGTAGAAGCACTATTTTTCTTCATTTTTAGTTTATTGTCCATTATAAATCTCTGGTCTCTGCTTATGTTAAAAAAATATACCATTTCTTCCAGGAAATATTGAAAATAAAATATTGTCACTGTCCCTGGCATTTATATCTGGCATTTATTTAGATTCTTCCACCCAAAATTGGTTATTTAATTATTTATTGGCATGAGGTTAATGTGAATCAGTGATCTATGCAATAAATTAAAATGCTATATGGATACATGAAAGTAAATACTATTTCAAAGAGAAAAAACAGCCTTTATTTTATTACTATATGGAGCAAAAGAAATTTCTCAAACACACATGTTCATTTTTGTGAGAAGTGAAAATATGTCTCATTGCAAGGTGCCACTGGGTTTCCTGTTTATGTACCATAGAATAGCAATGACTTTCTCTTGAGATTTTCTGATAAGGCCTTTAAAAATCTCAACAATGTAAATACTCATGTATCAACCCTCCTTCCACAGCGGTACTTGTTAAAATCTTTAGAATTTAGAGAATCAACACATAATTCCTTGTTTTGGGATGGTGGAATAGCTGGTGTTCATTTACTCTAATGGTCCTGAAATTTTCCTCTTCCTTTTTCTAGGAGTTGTGTATTTCACAGTTTCTGTGCACTAAAGAACTGATCATCTTGTTGTCAATGACATTGCCTTTACAGTAACACTCAGCTTTTTCTGCCTTGTACCTTTCTTATCTTTTCAATTTAATTCTGTCAGTTTGGAGTTTTTTGTCCAATATATGCACATATCTATCTGCCTCCATTATGTATGCTTAATTATCACTTCCCAGCCAGTTTTATTTTGACTTTCATATATTAATTAGACTAAAGTTGAAGACAGTTATGAGAAGTTGATTTGTTGGGTTCAGTAATAAAAAAATATTGTGTGATTTGTTACATATTTAAAGTTCCTGCTTGTATGCTGGACTTAAATAATTTCTTCTTGAGTATTATGTAGATGAAGGTCATATGACAGCTGAAGAAGGAGAGGTGTCCTCATTGCCTCACTGTGAGTTCACCCACAAGGCCAGAAGCCTGAAAATTTGCACAGAAGTTGCAGAGGACTCACCATCTCCCATTGAACTCAGGTCTTTGTGGTCACTGGCTCACGCACATGAATCTAAGCTTTCTTCCTAATTGTTACTCATTTCTTGGTGCCTACCATAAGACAGTAAATGGTCTTAAAAATTGTAGAATTGACCACATATGTCAGCAAATTATTCCTAAATCATAGTATTAATGACAATACATATTGTATTACATTTCTATGAGGATCAGTATGGTTTCACTATAAGATATGAGAGCTCCTGAAGAGGCCAATTAAAAAGAATGCATGTTTCCTTGATATTTTTGCTTCCTGTGTATTTAGTTTATCTTCATACCATCCAAGTGACTTTTGCTACCTTATTTACAATGTGGTCTTTTGAATGAGAACTCCTTCAGTTCTTTTTTAGGTGCTACTTTCCTCATTAATTACTTGTGTACCATTTACCTCCTGTGTCTCTGAGGACAATTTGTCTCTTCTTGTACATTAAATGAGATTTTTGTACTTGCTAATAGGCCTCCTACATACTTTAACAGAATCATCAGTTGTAAAATCTGCATTACCAGGAGGGCCTCCTAAATCATTCTTCCGAAGGCAATACTTCTTTCTGTGTCTCTTGTGGTTCTAAACATCCCGGTTATATGCATATGTGAGCTTCATGAACCAAGATTGGGATAATTGGATTACTTTTATTTTTTTATTCATGAGCTATTAACATTCTATAGTATATATTTCCTTATAAAATAAAATCTTGCTAAAGAAGTAGCTGTATACCTTTGTTTATGTCACATACTGATATAGTATAAATATTCTTGGCTTATATGCTAAACCACTGCAGATTCATGAGGTAAGAATCATTAGGAAACGATTAATTGTTCTTATTTTTGTCATCTCTTTGAGTGCTTCATAACAGTCAATACCTTTGAGTGATCCTGGCTGCCTTAAATTCTGTCATTATTCTAGATTAATACTCTTTGAGAAAGAAAACAACTTTTAGTGTTCTTTAAGAGTATGACACATGTACACTCGTGCCATGCCTTTGTTAATTTTCTTTGTAGAACAATCACACAAATAATGTGAAAAGATTTTCATGTTGCTCTTGAGCATTTTTAATGTTATATTCTGTTAAAAATTTTTTTGTAAAATTGTTATACTATAGCTTACTTGCAGATAAATCTTCTTAAAAATCAAATGTATAATTCATCTTTTGACTTGTTTTGTCTCATTCTTTTTAATACGTTATCTTTATGTGTTATGTAACTATTACTGCCATTTCTTTAACCAGTTGTTATATCTTAAAATTCACAACAAGTAAATATTTAATAATTGTATGTAATTTATTTACAAAAATAGTAGACTATATAAGAATTTGCCTTTTGTGATAATGTATGATCCATAAACAGCAGAGAGAGGTAGATAGTTAGATAAAAATAACATTTTTTCAGGGCACATCATCTTAGCAGTGTTTAACACATTTAATAAGTCGCAGCACATATAAGGCCAAATAAAGCAGTGAACTTTGAAAATTAAGGGTATGACTAAATCATGAAAACACTTTGTATAGTATGAGAATTTTTATACAAAGGTAATTAGGAGGCCAAGGAGACCCATAATCAAAACATGACCAGGAAGTATGGGAGAGAGAGAAAACATAGAAGCACTCTGGAGGATTTGCATTGGCCCTGAATACAGGAGTGGAAAAGTGACACACTGGGGAGAACATATACAATTTGATGAACATACACTGTTGTTTGTGATTGATGAAGAAAGAGGTAATATTTATGGTAAGTAATTGTCCAACTTTTCTCCTCAGATACATGTGTACATTTCTTCTCCCATAAAGATGAATATAAACAGCACATTTTCTAGTGTCATTGGCATCCAACACTTGGTTTTCTTTGAAATCACCATTGGGATCATTGCCAACATGTTCCTGCTTATCTTACATGTCCTCACATTCCTTTTGGAGCACAAGTCTAAGCCTATAGATCTGACTATTGGTCACTTGGCTCTTATTCACATAGTGATGCTCATAACTGTGAGTTTCATAGCTATAGACACTTTCGGATATTGGACTTTCAAGGATGTAATCTCATGTACATCTATCATGTATTTGAATAGTTTGATGCGGGACCTCTCCATCTGCAGCACCTGTCTGCTGAGTGTCCTCCAGGCCATCACTGTCAGCCCCAGAAGCTCCTGTGTGGCAAAACTCAAGCGGAAATCTCTCCATCACAACCTGTATGGCTTTCTCTTTTTTTGGGTCTTCAATATGTTCAATAGTGGTCGAATCTTAATTTCCACTGTTGCCACTCCCACTGTGACCTCACATGGTCTTATATTTCTTAGTAAATCCTGCTCCCTTTTGCCCATTAATCCTTTCCTCAAGTATATATTTTTTTCACTAATGACTTTCAACTACGTGTCCTGTATAGGGCTCATGGTTCTCTCAAGTGGGTACATGGTGATTCTCCTATGCAAACATAAAAAACAATCCCAGTATCTACATAGCACCAGCCTGTCTCCAAAAGCATCCCCAGAAAAAAGGGCTATATGGACTATTTTGTTGCTCATGAGTTTTTTTATCATTTTTTACTCTCTGGACTGTGTTTTCCATTCCATGTACTCAATCATGAGGAGCCATGACCAAATTCGCCACTGTGTCCTGATGCTAGTTGGCAATGGCTATGCCACAATCTGTCCTTTGGTGCTCATCAGTAGTGAAAGACAGTTTATCAAGAGCTTCATATTCATATTCAGGATAGACAGTAAATGATTTTTTACTTAGCAATGGATAATTTGTCCAGGTCTGATATCAGACCGGATTACTAAGGGTCAAAGTGGTAGTGCGCAGTTTACATTATCAGATTGAAATACACACCACACACCACAGAGAAACCACACACACACACACACACACACACACACACACACACCATAAAGAATGTACTGTTAAGAACTAGAACTCTCATCTGTTTTTGAACTGTAAAGAACATTATGCATATCAATTATTTTTGAGAATAAACCAAATTGAAGGAAAAATTTAATCATAGGATCATGTGTGCTCTGTATTGTGATGTTTATTGCTTTGTATGTTTATCATATATGTTTAATTTGTTACAACAAAACAACTTTATTGTAAAAATTCAACAATAAATATGGATAAAAAGTTTAATGCTGTTAAAGCCTTATTGAACAGTACATGGTGTATCCTAAGGTCTGATCATATAAGTAATTTTGTGTGGCATAATTTTAATCACTGTTTTGTATTATGATTGAAAAATCATAAATTTCATTAAGGAAAATTGTGGTGTTCATACTTTTAAAATAATTTAATAATAGCACATAATCTAATAAGTATAAGAAGTTTCTTTTCTGATCTCTTGCTAAACTTACATACCCTTTTTAAAAATACAGATAGTAAACACGAAATGAAAGTTGATAGTGATAGGCCAAAAACAATTTCAAGGTTTTGGCGTTTATTTTTGTGTGTAAACCAAATCAATCAATACTCAAAACAATTCTTTTAGCATTTTGATAATATTACAAATTAAACATCAAATTTTAGTATTTCATTTTGAAAAAAAATCAAAGCTACTATTTTTCTTGTTTTAACAGAATTTTATAAGCAACAGAGATCATGTACAAGCCAAATCCAGAATTTCTCAAAATCACTTTTTTTCTAACATGTGTGACATGCATCTGGGAACCTTTTTTATTAAAAACACATGATGTGAATTGTAGTTACTGTAGATGGTATTATAAACTATCAATGGTAAAACCTCTTGCTCTAAATTCTGTACACATAAGAACATATATTGATTGAAATCTCTGTGAGTGTTTATAACACCAAAAGGAAATCAAGCATTTTAAATCCAGCATCTAAAACAAATCAAATGCTGCACTGCCAATGCAGCAAACAGAGATCCTCAACATAATTTTTGTATGTGCCTTATTAGGCCTGAGTACAGAATTCCAAAAATCTGATTAAGTCATCAGGATCTGTGTGATGGAATTGAGGTTCCAAAATAAGTATAATTTCATGGAAAGAAATAGCTTTCATGACAACTGACAAAGGACATAAGGAATAGACTTCTCCAACTTTCCTATTGTAATAACACAAGTTTTCCTTAAGCCAAGCTTGATTTCAAATTTCACAAAATTAAATATCTGATCTACGTTCTTTAGAGCAGGTAAGAGTGAAAGAGAAAATACCGTGCAATACATCTTGGATTTTTGTCAAGAATATATGAATAAATATTTTTGAGACCTACAAAGATAGTGTTAATAGAAGTCATTGAAAAAATTAGATCTTCTATCCCATATGTTATATGAACACATATGTTAATAATCACATATGTTATATGATCACATATGTTATATGAACATGAGGAGTATTAAAGAAATATAATCACATATGTTATATGAACGTGAGGAGTATTAAAGAAACAAAAAGGTGGGGCCAGCTGTGCACTCAGGGCCGAGCCATACCAGGCCACTCCTGTGACCCCTGCCACCCCGACAAACCACCTTGCAAGACCCAGGAATTCCAGCCAGTAGTGCATGCCCAAATAGTCCCACTGCTACCATTGGGGACTCTCTCCACCTTCTGAACTTAGTACTATTGTTGATCTTCGGATCCCACACCTCCTCCCAGCACTTTACATTGCAGTGTATTAACTGTGCTGCATCGAGGGGAGACTCAGTAACCGCTCATCTAAACAGAAGAACTCAGCAGGCTTCTCTCAGTGAGCTGAGTTTGCCCTTAAAATAGGAATAGAGTTCGCCACCTTCAGAGGGTAAACAGGAGCAATAGCAAAGCTCTCTCAAGAAGTAGGCCATTAGCAAGTTTGGCAAAAGGGCGCATGAGTCCTTCCTTGACACAGAGAAAACATCAGGTAGGTGGAGGAAGGTGGCAATAAGGTCTCCCCCAACCTGGGGAAAATTAAAAGGGCCTATGAAACACCCAGAGACACAGTATCACCTAAGATGAACAGTATCAATAGGGAGATCTGGTGATTATGAATAACTTTAAGACATAATAACAGCAGGAACTTAAGGTTAATTTTCATCAATACTCCTAGACTTGTCAGCCTAGGAAGAATATTGAATTCACCCAACAGTGCCTGCAGAGAAAATTCAGGTGAATGGTCCACCTCTTCACTGTGGGACCCAGGAATTGGACAAACATCAGTCTTACAGTAGGACCCTAAGATACACACTACCAACAGTTGACACTAGTGGGATTGAAGGATCAAATAATAACCTCAAAAGGGAAAATGGCAAAATGAAAAAAAGCAAAATGCAATCTCAAACATATAGTCCATTCAGGAGCAAGTACAGGAGACATTGAAATAAGGGACTTCAAAAGTAACACTCCAGAAATATCTGAAAAGATATTAAGTAAAATTTTTAAAAAAAACTCCATAAGGCTATGGAGGAAATCAAATTAGAAATTTTTTTTCATGTAAAGACAGAAATACCAACATTAGTAAAAGAATTGCTAAGTTCAACTAGAAAAAAATAGATTTTTAAAAAAGTATAGGAGCATGGGAAACTGATTGAAACCTTGAATGAACAATATACATAATAATCAGAATTCATGAAACAAACTCAAAGAGACATCCAAGAAACAAAAATTCTATTAAAAGCTGGCAAAGTCTTTTAAATGAAGCTGAGGATAAAATTTCAGACCTTGAGGACAGGATCACAATTAGTGATCTGGAAAGAATAGAACTTTTAAAAATAACAGAACAGCATGAAATGACATTGCAGCAGCTTCAAGATGATGCTAAGAGAAACAATGTACATCAATAGACATCAATGAGGATGCAGGAGATAACACAAAGGACATAGCTAAGCTATTCACAGAAGTAAAAGCAGATAATTTCTCAAATATTGGAAAAATATGATATACAAATAAGTGAGATATTTAGAATGCCAAACAGTAATAACCAACATAAATCTACACCCATATATATAATAATTAAGATCTCAGACATGCAGCATAAAAATAGAATACTGAAAGATATTAGAGAAAAAACACAATTCACCTGTCAAGGAAAGACTTCTCAGAATCACGGCAGACTTCTCAGCACAAATCTTCAGGTTAAGAAAAGCTTGGAGTGAAGTATTTCAAGCCCTATAAGAAAACAATTTTCAACCCAGACTGATATATCCAGTGAAACTATCTTTCAAGTTTAATGCAGAAACAAGATACTTCCATGACAAAGAACAACTGAAGAAATTAATATCTACCAAACCAACGCTAGAAAAAGTATTGAAAGACATGTTAGAAAGAGAAAAAAAAATGATCATAATCTCCAGAAAAACAACAGAAAGAAACTACCAGGCTGGATAAAAAATTAAACAATTGAGGAAAGTTGGAAACCAACAACAGAAACACAATATGGCAAAGTCAAGCCAGTGCATGTAAATGACATCCATAAATGTAAATTGGCTCAATTCACCTGTCAAAAGAAACAGGTTGACAGAATGGATCAAGAGGCAGGACCCCTCAATAGGCTGTATACAAGAAACACTTCTGACTCAAAAAGAAACTCATAGAGTAAAAGTCAAAGGATGGAAAACAGTACTCCATGCAACAGGAACCCAGAAAAAAGCAGGGATAGCTATTCTGTTTGCAGACAGTGACCTTCAAACCAAAAATGATTAAAAGAGATAAAGAAGGCCATCACATATTTTACGTGGAAAACTACAATAGGAAGAACTAACAATTATAAACATATGTGCACCAAATACATGAGAACCCAACTATACAAGGCAAATGTTAACGGACATGAAAATCAAATACACAAGAACACAATTGTAATAGGAGACCTTAACACTCCTTGTCATAAAGAGCTAGAACAACTAGACAAAAAGTCAACAAAGAAATAACAGAACTGAATCATACCTGTGAACAAATGGACTGAGTGGATGTTTGCAGAGTGTTACACCTAATCACATCAGAATACACATTCTTCTCAGCTGTACATGGAACATTCTCCAAAATTGACCATATATTAACTCACAAAACATTCTGCAGTAAATGCAAAGAGAGTGAAATTATCCCATGCATAATATCTGACCATAGTGCACTAAAATTGGAAATCAATGGCAGAAAAGGATTCAAAACCTGCAAAAATACGTGGAAATTAAATAACAACCTTCTGAACAACCAGTGGGAAGCAGAAGAAATCAAAGAAGAAATAAAACAATACCTGCAACACAATGAAAATGCAGACACAACATACTGTATCCTATGGAATGCAATGAAAGCAGTCTTAAAACAGAAATATATAGCAATAAATTGTCACATCAAAAAAATGGAACAAGCATAATTAAACCACCTAATGCTACACCTCAAGCTTCTAGAAAAGGATAAGCAAGTCAAACCCAAAGCTCATTGAAGAGAGGAAATTGTAAAGATTAGAGCAGAAATTAATGCAACTGAAATAAAAATTGGAAAGAATTAATGAACCAAAGAGCTGGTTTTTTGAGAGAGTAAACAAAATTCATAAATCTCTACTCAACCTTAAAAATATATAGAAAGAAAAAATCAAATCCATGCAATAAGAACAGAAAAGAGGGAAATTACTACAGATCCAATGAAAATTTAAAAATCATGAACACCTACTTTGAAAATCTCTTTGAAAATCATATGGACATAGGGTAGAAACACCGAGCAAATGGAAAAATTTCTATAAACATGAACTACCAAATCTCAGTTTCAGATTCTGTATTTCGTGACAGTGTGTGATCCATAAGTAACTG